CGAAACGGCGCCGCTGCCGCTACAGACAACCAATCTTTCATAACAGGCGCATCGGCCCTAACAGCTGGTGGCCGCCACAAGAAGCGCAAAGGCGCCAAAACATCCACATCAGGCTACTCCATGTCCTCCTCCGCGCTGCACCGCACAGAAGGCCTCACACTGCTCGACCAGCGCTTCGACAAGATCGAAGAGGAATACGCTGATGACGATGGTTTCCCTGAAGACGACTACGGCTACGACGACTCTGCTTCCATGGTTAGTGGTATGTCGAAGATGAGCGGCATGAGCAAGATGAGTGGTATGAGTGGGTGGTCGAGTAGTGAGGCGCCGCCGCTACGGGGCGATTTCGATAGTATCATGGATGACTTTCTGGGGAGCCATCATACTGCTGGCAAGAGCGGACGCAGGGTCAAGAAGGGCAAGCAGCAGAGTGGCATGGAGCAATTAGATGAGGTGCGGAAGGGATTGGGTGCGCCGAAGGTCAAGCCGCAGGATAGGTTTAGTGTGTTGAAGGTCTAGGGAGGAGGGGCTTTCTTCTCACTTCGCGTTATGATATAGATGACTTTATGCATTTACTGGCGTTTGGGTGGATGGGTAAAAGGGATCCGGGTCATAGGCTGGGACATGTTATACCCTTATCACAAGTATACAGTGGAATGAAGAGATGAACGGAGAATACATTGCCAAAGTCTTAGCCTAGGTTCTTCAAGATGTAGACAGACAGTGAATACCGACCATCTATCTCTTGAAGGACCTAGACTAAGACTTTGACAATATACCCTTCAGCGTTCTCATTCATTCGTTGATCTCATATACATCGTGACACTTCTTGTTCGTTCCTTTTTCATACCATGCCACCCAAATCTCATGTGGAGTCATCCTCCCCCGCTTCGCTGCCACACACCTCGCCTTCTCATCTAAGCAGACCCTAAGCCTTAGGCTCAACACTACTCTGCGCAACACCCTTCTGAAGCGCCTTCTTGCTAACAAGCCTGAACCCACCAACCAGCATAAGCGCGGCCAGCGACCCCAAAACAACAGCCAGCGTAACAAAAGCACCGATAACACCACCAACAGCAGGCGAGATATCGCTGCTGCCATTGCCACTCTGCTGCGCAGTAGTAGCGCCGTTGTCCTTGACAAACGCAGCGCAAGAACCAGCAGTGTTGCCGCACTTCGTGCACCACTGCTCCGTAGTCGTAATGGCAAACTCATTCAGCTTATCCTGGAACGTGGTCCACGAGACAGCGTTCTCGCTTCCGCCGAAAAGAGGGAAGACGGTGGGTTCACTGGTGTTGCTGGCGGTGCCGTTGTGGAACAGGAAGCGGACTTGCAGGTCATCTCCGTTAGGGAAACCAGAGTCAACATTCGCGTTGGTGAAGAGCTCGAAGACCATGGAGCTGGCGTAGTCGACGACCCCGGCGAAGTCGTCGCTGACCTTTTGCAGGTCGGCGAGACCGAAGAAGGACATGAAGGTTGCGTAGGCGCCAAATTGGATGCCAAATTTCTTCGAGCCGGAGGTGGAGATAATGTTGTTCATATACTCGAGGATTTCTCCTGCGAGTTGCATGCCGGCGACTGCGCGCATGTTGTCGCTGGCGTTGTAGGCGAGGCCCCACTCGTGGGCGTCGGCGAGAGTGCGGAGTTGGGTGAGGGTGGAGTTTGTAAGGGCGTCAGAGTTGGGGATGCTGGAGTTGTGGATCTCGGCTACGTGGATGGTGTCGTAGACTGTTCATGTTAGTTTGGCTTGTACATGAGGATTGGGACGAGACATACCGACGTAGGCGTTCTTGAAAGATACCTGCTCATCGCTGACCACGCCGTTCATTGAGGGAACGATGGAGGAGTAGAAGTCCTTGGAGCTGGACGCCAGGTTCTTGTACGACTCACTGTCGAAGTAGGAATTCGAGCTTGTCTTTGCGTTCTGGCAGCTCGACGCGTCCTGTAGCCAGCCGTTGTCCTCGGAGCCCGAGCCAGTCTCAATGGTGTTGACTGGGATGAGCTGGTAACCATCCATTGGCGCTTGTACGCTCTGGCCATTGGCAAGAGTCTGGACTGTTTGGACAGGAGGGTAAAGTCCCTGGAGGAATCCCATGGCTGAGTTCTGGAGGACATTGTCGACAGGTGCTTGAACCTGGAGTTGGGACAGCTTGACTTCATCCTCGTTGATGCCGTGGATCTTGGAGTCACCAGACAGGTAACGTGAGCGGTAGTACTGGCCGGATGTGTAGACCTGTTCGTAACCAAGAGCAGTCAAGTTGGTAGGAGCAAGAGCCTTTGGTGTACGGTCGCCATGGCGGTGGAAGATGTAAGCTCCAAGAACGGTCTCAGCTGCCTCGGCACCAGCGAGCATGGAGAGAGCGGAAAGCGCGACGACGGACTTCATGATGGGCAATTGAACGCTTGTCAACGAAGGAAGCTGTTCAGGAAAGCGAGTGAAGCAATTGAACCCAGGGCAAGGCGGCGAATCTCACGAGCAGAGGTGGGATGGGGAAAGAGTAAAGGCGGACGTCAGGAAGGACTTATACCAGCTATCTCGCTGCATGCCCCGCTGAGTAAGTAAACCAAGCTCGGGATTAAGCTACAGCAGCTAGATAGCAGGAGCCGTCCGCCCAATCCGAAGAGTAAACAGCTCATGATGTAGCGGGGCGCTTGCCTGACAAGCATGGTTCTTTCCGAATCTCGCAGTTCGGGAGGGGCAGGTGTAAGTGGGGGTTAGAGCGACCCACTGCCCGCGACAAGCTTTTTCCGCGCACAAGGTATCTTTGGCCGAGAATGACAGTCGCGCTGAATAAGTAGTAGTCAGGATGACGATATCATTCATCTGTCGCGGCCATAGAGTATCTCGCAGACGCCGCCAATTGGCACATCCATCACGGCATCTGTTCCCGTGCTCCAGAAGCCTTTCCAGTCCACCTCATCTTGTGCGCTAAATTGATATGCCGAGAAAGAGCTTCGTCGGCTGGGAGGTGCACTGGCTCTAGTGCCTTTTTCCTTGTCCTTGTCGTGTAGCTTGTCTGTGACTAGCACCGGGTCGCGTACTATCTGCCCAGTCATGCGATCGACAACGGCTATCTGTGCGCATTCATCGACGAGGTTCTCGCAGCTGCTCAGCGGTAGTGTGAGGTAGCGCGTGTTGTAGCTTGCTAGGGCAACGTAGATGTAGATGACTAGCACCACGAGCCAGCACGGCACCGCGAGCGCCCACCACCGGTTCGGGTAGTAATGAATGCCCATCTGATGCAGCATCGGAGCTGGCACATAAGCCCATAGGATGTACATCAGGAACGCGGCGGAGCTCCCCAGGTACAGTGCAAAGCCGTAGTATTCGTATGTAGGCACTTTCGGCGAGGCCCGGGGTACCGTCGGCGCATGCCGTGCCGAGCTCGCGAGGTTCGTGGGTGTGCTGGTGCCTGTGGTATGCGAGCCTGCTCTAGTATATCCTTCAACATCCGACGAGTCTGGGGTTGTAGGTCTCGAGGTTGGGCGGCTGAAGGCGGGGCGAAGTAGCGAGGTCAATGATGGAGACGGCGGTAGCGGTGTCGGAGGCCTGTTGTAGAAGGGCGGGAACAGCGCTGTCGCAGTGTGTCGCGGGAGGTGACTATACGATTTAGAGGTCTGTAATGGTCGAGACGTAGGCGCTGGCTCCTCTTCGTCCTCTTCATCTTCGCTGACTACGTCCTCCACCATGAAAGGATCCTCGTCTTCATCTTGATTGTCCTCTACAGACGCCGCCTCGGAGAGAGCGCTATTCGATATTGGCGATAGAGGAGTTGCTCCTGGACGAGTCGCGGAGCGTGGAGGGGATGTTACCGTGCTGTCCTCGCGACTCTGCCCATCAAATGACGTCAAAGTAGGGAGATTAGGCGTAGATTTTGAGTAGAACCCCGAAGGAAGGGACTCCCCTCTACTATGGGGTGGCATGTCGTTGAAGTGTGGTTTGGCGCGAAGTGAACCTATTGCATTGATCGCGTGCTTGAGCCTCTCAATTACGCGTTCGCGCTAGCGGAAGTATTCCGCACCTGCCCAGGTTGGCAGCTATCAGCCCCGTGTAACAAAACCATCTCATCTCCAGTCCAACATCAACTACACAGATGGCCCCAAAAACCCCGGCGACTGCTTCTCCAAGGACTCTGCAGCTAATGAAACTAAGGAGACGCGACACTTGCTTCTCTCAACATACTCCGGTCGACTGATAAGACCCACGATCCGCAATCTGCACCTCCCTCTGGACGACAATCAATGCCATGAGCGCAGACTCCCTGCGAATCGGCCCATAATGGAGAGACTTCAAGCGATGCAACACCGATGGCGCTTCAATGTCTGTTCGGGCTGTCTTTGTCAGCATCGCTGCTGTCGCGGCTTCCTCGTCCAGTCACTTACATCGCTGCCTAGCGCGACGCCTTCTCCGACGCAACAGACATGTAGCCATCAGGACCAACATTGGTATGCATGTTGCAAGAAGAGCGAGAACAGAGATGGTGTTGTCTTTTGACCAGGTCATCATTAGATATACGCGTTACTGAGCGCATCAACGTCCTTGCCCGCCCATCATATATGCTGGAAAAGCAGATTTCTGCCACAGTCCTCATATTCAGATTTGACGAAAGCAGCTGGTGTTTGGGATTCCAGCCTTGCATCACGATCGAATCAGGCTAGACGTGGTAGAATCGCATTTAGTAGAGGCTGAGCAAGCCAAAATCTGAATCGAAGAGGCGCAGTTGCAGCAATCACAACGTATCAGCGACGGGTGTAAGCATCAAACCAGATTCTGCTATATACATTACATACATCGGTCAGTACTGGAGATGCCATTGGTTAGGCATGCATGCACGACGTGGCTGATTTCATATTTCGCAAACAGGGCTGGCAGGCGCCATTCACGTGATGCGGTCTCTCATAATGCAGGCAAGTGCCCCGCGTTCAGCCTGGTCATCAGAGAATCTGCTCCTCGCATCATTATCTTTCTTGGGGGATGTACCTCTTTTCCGAACGCAACAATGCCCGACAAATCCTACACGCAACGCATACCGAAGTGCGAGTGGAACTTGCACAAACCTACTATTCATCGCCTGTATGTCCTAGAAGACTTGCCTCTCACAGCTTCAGGCGGGGTCAAAGACATCATGTCCACTGAGTACCATTTCTCTGCAACGTAAGTGCACGACGAGGCGCTTCAACGTCACATAAGCCAACTATTGGGTATTGACTTCCGCGCAGAAAAGCACAATACGAGAATAGGGTGAAGAAATGGGGCTTCTCCAAATATGGGCCTTCATCCAATCGGCGGAACAGAGTGTCAATAGGCCAGGAAGGAAGGGCTGAAGGCCAGCAGACGAGACTCCATACCAGACATCATGATAATACTCTGATCGTTGGAGGTAAGAGCTTCGATACGCCTATGTTATTAGATTTTGCCGACTAAAACTCGTAGCCTACCCGATCCGACGGAACGTTGCGACCAATAGTCTCTCACCATACCGCTCTGCCCTACGGTGTGCTCCGCTCGATCCTGCATGGCCTACACATGCCTCGTCGGCTTCACTCGAAGAACTCCATGGTGTATCATCAGCCTCCGCGCCTAGTGACATATGTTTGACTACATCGTCTCGCCATACCGGAGTTGACTTGTTCTTCTCTCGTGGCCACATGTCGACTTCAGGCGCGAATCCCGGTACAGATGATGTGTTCGCCTCGGCATGGCTACCTTACACGAACTGGAACGCTACCCCCAGGCCTTCGGAAACCCCCCTTGCATCAAGTTTCGCAACACTGATCATGCCGGTTATCTTGCGCTTACCAAAGCTCGGATCACTCGGCACCATGATCTCGTTCGAAGACACCAGTGCCTTTGAGGCTATAGTCAGGAACATGTTACATGAAGGCTCCTTTCAACTTGTACGCCAACAAAGCATGGATCGTCAAGTCATGTACATGATCTTCCATCGACTAGTCAACGACGGTCATGCTGTTCAGGCGCTCGATAGCCCCGAGACTAAGCTCGACCATCTTTTCAAAACAGGGATAACTTATTGCCTCTCACTTGGAAACGAAGTTCTCATGGACATCATCAATGCCACTCCCTCTCCCTACAATCTGGCATTGATACAGAACATTTTCTCTGCAGCGCTGATTCTGGGGAATGGACCCGTCTTGGGTATGATCATGAGCATGGATAGAGAGAGATTTGTGGACCGCCCCGTCACCCTAGGATATGCTCAGTATTACCCATTGGAGTATACAAGTCTCAAAGGATACCTGCAAGCAACACAAGTCCTCCTCGATTCCGGCGCTGATCCCAATCAGCAGATGTTCGCTGATCACATGCTGATCATAGCGGGGAATTTACCAGCTGAACACCCAGGCCATGCAGTTGGACTTCAAATCCTGCGACTGTTGTTTGACCATGGTCTAGAGTTCGAATCATCAGAGTCTAGTTCCATCGCGCTACTCTTGTCGCGGTGCGACGAACAGTATTTACCACTATTAGCCACTCACTGCCTGGACATGAGCTTTCAAATCTTCTTTCAGAAGCGCGCTTTGCCGTGTATATTGTGGCGAAAAGACTTGGACAATTCCTTCTTCGAGTTACTAGAAGCTATCTTGGATCGGGCTTCATCAGCTAGCAGCGGTCACCGAGATCTTTGGAACGAGGTGTTATCTACTTCCCTGTATTGCGCAGTTCTACGCAGCTATGTTTCGGCCTCCGATCTTTTGCTTGCAAAGGGCGCGATGCCAGATGATGTTTGCTTGACCGGTGCTGTCAGAGGCAACGATCTGAAAATCCTTGTAGAGTTTCTGGATCGTGGTCTAGACCCCAACGCCGAAGTTATTGTACCCTACTGTGAGGACCCATCTAGACGCCCATTACAGCCCGAGACTTGTACTGCGTTAGGCGAAGCCATTACGAATCGATCCAAGGGAGCGTTCGAGATACTTCAAGCGCGGAGATATGTTTCTGAACTGGCCCATCAATCAGCTGGCTTTACTTACGCCTTCGTAGCAGCGTGTCAGGTTGGGGACAGCAGGCTTATGAATCTGCTGCTGCAATTGCAAAGTTTTCCTAGCAGGCTTAAGAACATAGAGAACGCTCTTGAAGCTGCCATGGGAGAGAATCAACATCACATTATCGAACAGCTCCTATCTCTGGGCATCAGGCCGTCGCTGAGGTGCCTATACAAAGCGATTCAAAGCAGGCGACTAGAACCTGTGAAGCTGTTGACGAGTTGTATGGATATATACGGCATCCTGAGAGAAAACAATGGGCTTTACAGTAGGTATGATCCCGTTCTGGATGCTCGAGACGAGGAGTACAACGACGCCATACTCTTTGAAGTGTTGAGCTGGGGTGATCAAATCGCAATTGACTGCGTACTTCGAAGTGGACACCCTGTCAATGTGTGCATGCGGCCAAAGTTCAATGAGTTTCACGATTGGAAACTAGACTTGCGACCACCTGGGCGTACTGATTATTGGAACATAATTCCCCTCAGCGCCGCTATCGTGAAGCGGAACTCAGCAGCAGTAAAAGCATTGATGACATACGGTGCACGACTTCTGCTACCACACCAGTTCAACTCACGACACACATCGCACCAAGCTACCCCCATTGAGTCACGGTGGTCATATGGCGATGGGTGGACTCTGACACCACTTTCTGCCGCCGTTTTCACAGATGATCTCCCTTTACTGGAAGAGTTCCTGCGCCTGGGAGTGGACCCCTTCGACAATAGCGCCCTTTTCGTATGCATCATGCGCGACTTCGAAGATGCCATTACGTTGATACTCTCCGCTTTCAGGGCACGATACCCAGACGGGGTACATTATTTCGGCTCAGACGCACTCTACCAGGTCATAAGACGCAAGAACATGCAACTTCTTAGGATTCTCGCCATGGATACCGATATCACAGGGCCCGTTGAAGAGGACTGGAGAACCACGCCTGACGGCCATTGGCCGTTTCGACGAAGTGTAAATTTCACGAGTCCACTTGCCGAAGCATTCCGTCTTTTCTCCGAAAGCGATGACACTGGCGAGGTTATTGACGTTCTTCTGCCTCTGGTCAAAGACCACAACACTGTTGTACATCAAGACGACAAATTTGGTAACATGACTAGTCTACTATACGCAATCTCTTTGGGCTCTTTGGAGATCGTTCAGAGGTTACAACAGGCAGGCGCCAACATATCCTCACCAGCCGAAGTGAGTATTACTCGAACACCACTGCAAGCGGCAGCACAGGCGGAAAGCAAGGAAATCGTAGAGTACCTCCTAGGCCAGGGAGTCAGTCCGAACGAGCCTCCAGCAGTCCGAACCGGAGCGACTGCACTTCAGCTAGCCGCGATCACAGGAAACATCAGTATCGCAACGGCCTTGCTCAAGGCAGGGGCCGAAATCAACGCACCACCAGCATTCTTCGACGGCAGAACGGCACTCGAAGGCGCCACGGAACATGGCCGTGTTGAGATGATGATCTTCCTCGTTGATCAAGGCGCTGATCTGCTTGCAAATGGCAACGCGCAATATCAACGTGCTATTGCGTTTGCAGAAGACAATTTGCAGCACGCTGCGAAGGCGGTCGCAGACGAGCTTTACACAAAAGCTCTCGCTAGCCAAGGACCGAGCTTCATTGACATGGGTGGGGAACAGTGGGCGGGATATGAAACCCCAAACTTTGGGAGTTTGTTCTGACGAGCCGAGAAAAGCTCACCAGGCGTCTTTTTTTTTTCTTTTCTCGTGGCTTCCGTTATGGGAGTGCAACACTAAATCAGCCAGTAGTACGTTCTTCATAGACCAGTTCCGCGGGCGTTTGGAGCACTTTCTTGAATCAATATAACACTGTTTTCAACTTCGTCTCCCTGCCCTGAGTAGTAATTGTAGCCATACCTAAACCAACGTCATCAGCGACCCATCGCAGTCAAGTTTAGCAATACCCCTGGGTAAACCCTAGCAACGACCCTCATCACCGATGCCAAGTAAACTCAATCGAAGAGCTCGAACACCCATAGCGTAAAATAAACCGAGCATTCAGCAGACGCATCACAGGTAATGTTCACGAAATCCAGCAGATTGAATGCAAGTTCATCATCATTGCAGCACTGTCCAAACAACCAAGACAGCCATCTACAGCTTACTAGCCTCCCCACTCGTCCTGTTAAGGTACAAAGGATCCCTCGGCTCAATCCCATACTGCCTACACAGCTCCTCGCCCTTCTTCTGCTGCGCCTCAATCCTCGCCTTATGCGCAAGACCCCTCTTATTCTCATTCTTACCCAGCTGCAACAGATGCACCTCATCCGGCCCATCTACAATCCTCATCGTACGGCCACTCGACCACATCTGCGCAAGCGGAGTATCTTGACTCACACCCGCACCACCGTAGGCCTGCATGGCCCAGTCGATGACCTTGAGGTTGACTTCAGGGACGAGCACCTTGACTTCGGCGATTTCCTTGAGCGCGCCCTTGGCGTTTGTTTCGTCGATCTTGATGGCGGCGTTGAGCACGGAGAGGCGGGCGGCGTCGATTTCGATGCGGGAGCGTGCGACGCGCTCGAGCATGATGCCGTGTTTGTTGAGGAGCTCGCCGAACGGCTTCTTGCGCTCGTCGTTGATGCGGGCGAGGAACCATTCTAGTGCCTTCTCGGCGGAACCGATGCTGCGCATGGCGTGGTGGATACGTCCGGGTCCGAGTCGGCCTTGGATGATTTCGAATCCGCGGCCTTCGCCTAGCACCATGTTGCTGGCGGGGACGCGGACGTTCTCGAAGGTCACGTGGCCGTGGCCGTGGGGTGCGTCGTCGAAACCCATGACTGACAGCATACGGTGGACGGTTACACCGGGGGTGGTGTTGGGGACGAGGATGACGGATTGTTGCTTGTACTTGTCGGAGTTATTGGGGTCGGTCTTTCCCAGGACGATGAAGATCTTGCAGCGAGGGTCGCCAATGCCGGATGACCACCATTTCTGGGGGTTGTTAGTATCGTGCAATATGAGGAAGAGACGAAGGTTGACTAACCTGACCGTTCAGGACGTAATGGTCGCCATCCTTCTTGATAGTCATCTCAATGTTGGTAGCATCACTCGACGCAACCTGAGGCTCTGTCATCAAGAACGCAGAGCGGATCTCGCCCTTCAGCAGCGGATCCAGCCACTGCCTCTTCTGTGCCTCGGTACCGTACTTGGCAATGACCTCCATGTTGCCAGTATCGGGAGCAGCGCAGTTGACAGCCTCGGAAGCTGTCCGGCTCTTGCCCAGGTACTCAGCCATGAGGCCGTACTCCAGGTTGCTGAAGCCAGCACCCTCCTTGAAGTGTGCCTTGGGCAGGAACATGTTCCATAGTCCAAGTTCTTGTGCCCTCTTCTTCAGATCCTCGATGATGGATGGATGTGACGAGAAGCGCTCTTGGACGGTCTGGCCGATCTGGCGGACGTATACGGCGTCGGCGGGGATGCACTCTTCTTCGACGAACTTCTCTACCTATGCATATGTTAGCATGTACTTGTCCAGAGCTTGCCAAGCCACCTACAAGGTCGAGTGTCTTCGCCGCCCTCTCGCTAACAAACGGCCGCGCGATGACGGGAATGCGCTGAGAGGCGGAGATATGGCCATCCTTGCTGTTGCTGAGCAGATCGTAGGCGCGGTCGTACGGTACAGACATGATTGCGTACTTTAGAGAGAGGATGAGGTAGGGAAGGACGGTCCAGGGAGGAAATCCGGGGTAGTTTAACAAAAGATGCGGAGAGACGACTCGTCCGTGGCTACTGCTTCGGTCATTGATGTTGGGAGCTAAGAGTTGCCGAGGTACGGCATGCACCACCTCCGCTTTGGACCTCGTAACTTGGCTGTCTCACACCACGCAGACGTGATGCCAAGGTGTCCGATGGCAAACGCATCTTAGAGAAGGGTATCGTTGGCCGAGGCATTGATGAAAGTCATGTCGGTGTAGATGCTGCGGTTGTAGTTGGCGATAGCTGCAATGGACGCGACGCCACCGTTACGCGTGACGCACAGTCCAACCTCCGCAAGAGGCTATGGAATAGCATGTGTACATCAATGTAGTTATCGGAAGTGATACGGGCCAGCTTAGCACCCATACAATTGTCGTTAGAGAACTCAATGAATCTATTAAGAGAGGTCATTGACTCCAACCACAACACGAGTATGCATCGACTAGTTGACTCATCGTGCTTCAGCAGCTACAAGCCTACTAGTCGGACACCTCGACCTAAATCCGCCCAGCAGCCACATCTCCAATCCATAATTGCCAGCAATGCCATCGCAGCCAGCCCTCCCCCGTGAGCTCATCGACCAAATCATCACCACCCTCATCTCCCTCCATTCCCACGACCCAGCCTACCAATGGACAAACCTGCGCCACATAACCCGGCACCACAAAGCGCACCTCGAGCAACATTTCCTCGCCCACTGGGTCCCCAAGCTATCATTCGAGATCCCACATGACTATGGCTCATGCCCACTCGTGAATTTCATCACCCCAACACCACCTCGCACCCTGCAGAAAGAAGACTCAAGAAACAACGGTGCAGACATCGTGGTATTTACTGAACGCACCGGTCTCCGTCTCACCGACATGCCCAACCGCTGGTACGAACACGCCACAGGAAACATCAAAAGACATCCCTGGGAGCAATTCGATTCCAACATCATCGTGCACTTTGGTAACGGCACGTTGAACAAAGGCTACTCAAAAGGCGGTATAAGGAGCGATGTCGTCATACCCAATCTATCCATCAACACGGATGCCTCGCCGTGGGAATTTTCTTTCGCTTGGAGAGAACTCTTCACCAGGCTCTTTACTGAGGAAATGGTGATGCGGACATTCCGGGACAAGCTTCTTGGATGGTTTGTACCCACTTTAGGAGGGGATATAGAGCCGAGGGCGGAGAAAGCTGCTGTTTACCATTACTTAAGGAAACACTTTCACTGGCAGCGGAGGGGTGTGTTGGCGGCTTACCGGAAGTATCAATATCCTCTCTTGTGGGATGAAGAATACTGTCGACGTCGTTATCGCGAACAACATACTGAGGGTCGCTGCTACAAAGCGTATTCCTCCAAACGTCCCTTTGACTTTTCACGGTTCATTCATCAAGGCGGGGAGAACCTTGGTTTGGCTCTTTCCAGCGAGTTCCATATGCTTGAAGACGAGGAGAGCATGGTGTTTCAAATCCCTGGTTGGGAGACGTGGGACGTAGGGGATGTAGGACGCATGCGTGTTTATGAAGAGATGATTGAGGAACGGCAGACGGATATATGGTTTGGATACCGTGATGCTCAGTTGGAGGACTATTGGGAGTTGTATTATAAGAGCCTACTGCAGGTTATGGAGGGAAGAAGGACTGTCAGTGATGAGGTGCTTGAGGGGCGTTTGAGAGCCGAGAAGCTGGATCCAGACACGTTCTGGCTTTCAAAACCAGCCAATGAATGGTTTCCATACCGGTAGTGAAGGAGTTCCGGAGTTCTTTGCAGTTCTTCATATGCTTTGTTATCTATGTCACGATGTACTTTGATCGAGGTTTGAGTGAATGCTGACATTCTCTCGAAAATCCTCAGAAGATCACGACTTGAAGTGTAACCTGACCCAACGAATTTTGATAGTCAGCAGTGACTAGTCATTGGGTTGGAAGATACGTGAGCGACTCTATTATGATTCTACAACGCAGTTTTGAGACGTAGCTGAAGTCGGGTATACGTTGTATAAATCTCATAGCAACGTAGTAGTGAAATGTGAAGGGTGCTACCTCGTACAGCTTGTGATGAGGATAGACCTGTAACGGTGACATAAACCGCAAGGCTATAACGTCGCTCGATCCTCGTTGCTGGGCTTCAATTCCGGAAGGGTTGCTTGTCGCAGACCGGATCAAACGGGTATGTTGTAGGAAACGAGTAAAACGTATTGTGTAACTGTTCTTAGTGCCAAGACACCAGACCGTGGGTCAATTGATGCAATAGCAGTGCCAGTAGCCTGGTAAAATATTGTTAAAATTTGGAAGATGAGGGTTACACTTTTGTCGGTGAGCGCGGATGTGTACCCGCGGAATGCTTCCTACAACGACCAAAAGGTGTCTGAGAAGGTCGTCCCGCCTGCTTGTGGCGTACACGGACACCATATAGAGCCAATAATAGTCTTGGGCGTACAAGTTAACTGACAGAATGGTATCATCCGCTCGGGCAGCTGCGTGTCGCTATTCTGGTGCAGAACCGGATGAATGCATGAGATGTGTGCGCTCAACCGTGACGATGTAACCACGATGTTGAGTGGGCTGCTACGGATCCGACATGACAGCTGCAGACGAGCGTGGCGAGGTCTCCGGCCGATGTCGGTAGCCGAATACAGCTCGTGGTACAACCATCGTGCATACTCTATTGTCTTCATTTAAAATAGATGCTCATCCTGTACCGCATGGTTGCGCGCTATCAGCGATGAAAATCTCCGAGTATTCAACCATATAGGTGGACCGGCATAGTCCGATCGTCGGGTATGACAAGTCGGCCGGGTACTCCGTAAGGCTGAAGTCCATATGCGTGCTCTACTTGAAGTGGATTGGGGGTACATATCGTGGTTGCGCAGATCGTATCGTATCTAAGTTCGACTGCCTGACAAGTCCAGATGTCTAGGCCTGCGTATTCTTGTTCGTCGCTTTACATATAGACTCCCGCCACCAGATCTGAG